GTGCGGAAAATTATCATAAGAAAATTCATTATTGAAGTTGTCTCACTTCATCAGTAAAGACAACATGACTCCCTTAACACAATTCTCATCGATGATATTAGACAACTTCTAAACCATAATTGAAATATTAATATGTTATTTTTTAAAGAATGCAATTCTTGACCTGACCATCTGAATTATTTCGTGTGTAACGTACTCATTAAACTACATCCAATTAACTCATACTCTCAAAGAACTTCACTGTCTAAACAAATGTGACGTTGCATGAACTTAACTAACCAACCATCAGCGTTCGTGTTCACTTTAGAAAATTAAAGATATATAAATCCATTTTTGTATAAGTAATGCTTTCTCTCTCTCTCTCTCTTTAAGAGATTTGTCAAATTAGGAAAGTAATATGAATGTTCATTTTCATTAATGACTTCTGCTCAAGTGCTCATTTGCTGTTCAATGTTCCAACTTTTCATCAATATTTATTTTTTGAAAACATTATTGAGAGAACAACTTTAAAATATCATTACATAAAGTAAATAAATAACTACCACATACTATATTAGTATATAATTCATAATTATTAAAAATTAATTTTTTTATATTATAAAAATTAAGTAATTGAATTATCATATTAAATTTAACATAATTTCTATAAAAAAAAAAATCTAAAGGTAGCAATTAATAAAATTTCGAGGCAATTTTAATTTAAATAGAGTTTTATCGAATTGTCGTTTAATTTTCGTTAAAATATGCAACTAAATTGTAATATTTTGGCACATTCGTAAATTATTATCATTTTAGGTAAATTTTAACACTAAATATTTTTTAAAAAATTAATAATTATAGTTATGGCTAAAAGATTTTGACATTATGAAAAGATATTATAAATTAAAAAAAAATTATTAAAAAATTTCTTAAATCAACGTGATAAACATTTATTATGTAAAAAAAAAAAATTATTATTACATGAAATTACCAATTTTCCGCAATAGAAATTATTATAATTATATACATATATTATTTTGGAATTGAATAAACAAGTTATGATAATTATATTTCTACTATACAAAGCACGCGCATGTATAATCATAGTAATAATAAGAAAACTTTATTATAATTATATTAATTTTATTAAATTAATTATTTAATAAAAAATTATATTTTAACCCAGTTGAAGAAATTGGTGTCTCAGTCAAACCCAGAGAGGAAATTGAAAATTACCCACTTTCCTATCTATCCATTTCTACTATATATCAATTATAAACAGTGTTTCTTATTAAAAAAATATATATGTAATGCTCCTGTTGAACATAATATATACCTATACAAGTATATATATATATATGTACATGTATATGTACACACACACACACACACACACAGAATTCAGAGACAGAGTCCAGAAAAGGAAAGAAGAAATTGCTGTGCTTTGGTTGACAATGGCTTGGAAATACAGAGCAGGGTTGGTTCTCATGGTCATTGTTCTTTTCATCTGGGTCACCTCTTCAGAGATTACACAGGTCTGTTTTCTTACCCTCTCAAATCTCAACTATTTGTTTAAAAAATTTTTATTTTTACTGCAATTTTATGGTTCATATTCCTCATAAATTACACTATTTTGTAAATATGTAAATTTTGATTTCAAATTTTAAGATCAAATTCATTCAACTAAATTAGATGGAGCTTTCTGAAAAAAACTTGGATGGAGGGTAAAAGTAGAAATGATTTTACAAACACTGTCCAAAATTATAATCATAAACTAATATGCATTGAAAAAAGTATAAACTTCATGTTGATTTCTGTGTACTTTGAGTTGATAGGTTGTACCAGTGGGATATGGAAATGGTTGCTGATGGGTTTATCAATATCCATGTGTGTATATATACATATATAATCTGTGTAAAAATGATAAGTTGACTTGTCATTGTTAATGTGATTCTATTTTTACTTCATATTTCCAAAATTGACAAATTTTTTAGAGACATGGTAAGAATTCAACAATTCAAAAAAAAAAAAAAAAAAGCTTGAACTGTTAATTCACATGTAAGTAACTTCTATATATATATATGTGTGTGTGTGTGTGTGTGTGTGTTCAATTTTGGGTTAATTGATTTTTAACTCTTTTCTTTTTCAAATTGCTTTGATTGCTAAATGGGAAATTGGGAGGGTGTCCTGGAATTTGCTTCTGGGAACTTCCTTCATGGGCATCAGGTTTTTCACCCAATAAGTCAATCTCCTATATGTATTTTTCAGAAGATTCACCGGTTCAACATCTTGCTTCCTTGTTCAATTTATTAGGGTTTCTGGAGATCTTTACATGGCTTATTTGCTTTTGCATGAAAATAGGGAATTTTCACAAGCTACAGACATCCATTTGCAGTGGCTTATCTTGGAACTTCTCTTTTGATAGTTCATCTTCCAATAGCATTCGCCAAGGATTGGCTTCTGAGATTTCTGAGCCATCGACGTCGTAAGCAGAAACCCTCTGCAGAATCTGATTCTCAACTAAAACATGAGAATGTGAGTGTCACCTTGGAAAATCATGACCTTCGGACACCATTAATGGCTGATAATGCTAACGTTGTTGACAAATTGGACAAAAATAGGAAACTTACCAGAATGGAAACTCTAGTTTTTGGATTCTGCATTGCTCCTGTCTGGTTTCTGACAGAGGTGAGAAATGAATCATGGAATGCTTCTTATTAATCTTTGGAGCTGGTTGAAATCCATGTTAATGCTGTTAATATTTGAAAGTTTATGCATATACTTCCCCACCCAGATTCCATTTTTCTCTTATTGGATGCTGTCTGATTAAATTCCTATGTGGGACTACACACATTGAAGTCTTCCCCGGGTAAACTCGAATCGCTGATGTTATTTATTTTCTGCAGTATTTGACGAACGCTGCACTTGCGCGGACAAGTGTTGCGAACACAACATTACTAGGTTCAACATCAGGACTCTTTACCCTGTTGATTGGTGCAGCTTTGGGGCAAGATTCTATCAATTCGATAAAAGTGATTTCTGTTGTCATCAGCCTGGTTGGTGCTTCTATGACGACATTTGGAAGCACATGGTTTGAAGATCAAACAGCGCAATACAAGTAAGTTTGGTTGTCCCTATTCCGATAAAGTTCTACGAAATGAGACAGAGATTACTGAAACATGATCTGAATAACAATACATAATAATCATCAATAAACTGAAATCTAGACGAGACAATAAATGGTGTTTGAATGATAAGTCCGTAGTAAGTTGGTTTGATTTGCTACAATCCGGACGAGCATGTCTTTGTGCAGCAAGTGATGAATGTTTTCTTCTGGCAGAAACACAAAGCATTCTCTTCTAGGAGATCTTTTTGCTTTTCTCTCAGCCATGACCTACGGGTTATTTTCCGGTTAGACAAATAAAATTTCCTCTGTTCCTTTGTTTTCTGATGCTAAGATCATTTACATTTTACTTTTCTACAAATGAATTCTACTGCAGTGCTACTTCAGAAGTTTTCAGGAGAACAAGGAGAAAGGGTAGACATACAGAAATTATATGGATATATTGGATTATTCACATTTCTTGGCCTCTGGTGGGTAGGTAAGATTGAATTGCTTGCTAGTTTTTCTGAACTTCAGGGATTTGACCTAAAAGAGAATCAAATCTCAGAAGATAGTCATTAAGATTGAAGAGTCCGAAGTGCATCATCCTTTTGACTAGTCCTCGGTGAATGTTGTCATCTAAACTAATCTGACTGAGTGCTTTCGCATTCTCTTTTAGTGTGGCCACTAAGTGCTGCAGGTATGGAACCAAAGTTCGAGTTTCCTCACTCAGCTAGAATTGGTGGGATAATCCTCCTCGATGGTATTGTTGGAAATGTATTCTCTGATTATTTATGGTACGAATTTCATACATAAACTTGACTTAAGTTCTGTTTTAAGCATCCGAATAGATACAGACACACGTGTCTGTGGGTATGTATATGTGTATGTATGCTAAGCCAGAGGTCAACATGAGAAATGCTTGCAGGGCACTGGTTGTTGTTTGGACCTCCCCACTGGTTGCTGCACTTGGTTATTCGCTGACCATACCTCTTGCCATGCTAGAGGACATACTGATACATAAGCAGGGCTGTTCACTCATTTATATCATTGGCTCAGCACAGGTAATTACCACTCTAATATAAGTAATACTCCACTATTTTTATCAGTTCTAGCAAGTTTAATAGCGAAATTAGTGCCTAAGTTGTATATAATTGCCCTTCCGTCTTTACTAAGAAAGTAGTGAAAATAAGAGTGATACCCAGTGTTACTTAACTCGAGCTTATAAGCTACACAACTGTAGGCAACAATTTTCCTTCCCTATACGCTCTCTATCTTTGTGTGAGCAGGGAATTCGACACACAGTCACTAGGAAAAACTAAAAAAAGACTTTTTAAGCTACAAAAAGTACTAGTATCCATAGTTATCATTAGTATGGTGGCCTCTCAAGTATAAATAGTGCCCAATTGGTTCAAAAGAAGACAGATGATTAGCTTTGGTGTATTTGGCATCTTGTTGTGGATGATTAACCTGCTTTCAATCTAAATCTGCAGAAGGCATATGGAACTTGTCTAGCACAAAAGCTCACGAGTCACATCTTGTTTTGCAGGTATTCCTGGGGTTCGTAATAGCTAACCTTTCGGATTGGATTTCACAAAGGTTGAGATGGGAAATCTTCAACAATTCTTTTGCTCTGCCTATTGCTCTAACCTGATACACAACTAGCCACTTTTACAGATGTAATTTTACAACATGTAAATGAAAATAGTATTTAATTTTAAGGCTTTTTCTCCAAAAAATATTAATTTCGAGTCAATTACATATCCGTTCCAATTAAAATGTGTTTATAGTTTCATCCTTAACAAACAAAAGTACAAATCCGATATTATCACATTAAATATATAAGTAAAGTTTATTTAATTATTCATCAAATATATAAACAGTAAAATTGTAGACTAACCACTGATACTACTCATTTCCAACACACTAACATCAAGATTTGTATTACTCTTTTACACACTAAAACTTTATATGTTATAAATATAAACATAACACATTGTGCTATTTTAACCATCATTTTTTTTATTAAATGAAAAGAATTCGGACCACAAAAAGGAAGCTTAAAGACCACTTATATGGTCTTAGAGTCCAGTTTGATCCAACCTCGGACCAGATCAAATTGTTTCCAAGCTAATTTATCGTTTAGGAACCAACAGGGACCATTTGCATTTTGTGGTAATCACAAATTCAGAAATCAAACTTCAGACAATTAAGAGAACTCAGCAATATCTAATCTTGGATTTTAGCCATGTTAAGAAAGGGATTAGTACACTGGTAAAGTACATCTCCAAGCATTTCCAGTTCCAGAAGGATTCGTGGAAAAGAAAAAAAGAATCAACCCGCTAATACTTGAAAATGATCATTCTAATAAGAAGAAAATCTAATCAGATGTCACTTTAAAGGAATCCATACCTTTATAAATTAATCTTCCTGAATGCTGGAGCGCCTCAAAAATTCAGGCTCACTATACAACTCCAATTTAGCATTAATATATGATCTCCTGATTGTTGAGAGAGGATAGCTACCTGCTGTTATTGTCTTTCTCTGAAGAGAAAATTGTTTTTTTTTTTACTTTTTAACAAAACTGGCCATGCTCTTTTCACAATCAGCATTACACCCAAAATCCCAATTCTGAGGTTGATTTTTGTTTGAGTGATTGGATTAACTAAAAACTGTTTGTTTCTTTTCAGCTCTGTTTCTCGCTTGCTTTATAGTAAAACATCTTCTGCACATAAAACATCATGTACCCTTGTGCAGCTCTGACAATATTCTCATTGACTTGAGTGATCCAGGCATCGTCACATTTGTACCATTCATTCCTTAATCGCAAGTATGTCACGTAATGGCCGGCATCTAGTTTTCCAGTGTGAGTGACAACAGCAAATAACTCAAACTCTGATGACTTCTCGTTGAATGCATCAGGCTCATCCCCATCAAAAGACAAAATCCTATTACCAAATCGACTTCTCAAGATTGAAGAAGAGAGATATGGAGCCATGTCCAATGAAAATGGGAACTGCAGGTAACGGTCAACCTTCCTTGACATTTTCCGAATAGAAGAATGTTCAAATCTTTTGATGTGGAAGCAAGTAACCAGAGGAAGCTTTCTAATCGACATCTGTTTAAGAGATTCCTGCCTCACTTGACACTGTTGGCAGAAAAATTTCTGGTCTGAGCCCAATCTCTCTGGTCTTGTAAATCTGTCTAAGCAACCCATCAATGTTGATATTCCACAGTTTTGGCTTATGCAATCTACCTCCCCGTTGCATGCGTTGTGGGACTTTGCAGATGATTTTTTTGCTGAACCTCCTTGACTTGGCTCCAAATCCAAGGAGATGTCAACGCAGGGATCATATGTTGTTGATGTGTAGCCACAAGCCATGCACATGACATCAGACCGCAAGATACCAGAAAATACTCTATGAGCAATACAGCAATCTCCATTTCCTGCACCAATGCAGATTATTAAATATTATTCCGAGAAGACAATAAGCAATGTAAATGCATGTTCCCGAGGATAACTTGATTCACGATATTCCCTGGAAAATGGAAAAGGGAAGCAAAAAATACTTGTATGAAAAAAACAAAAGGCAGGATATCAGTATTTGATATCCAACTGCCTTCTCAAACGCTGAATATTTTTTTAATACTGCCAAAGGAAAAAAAATGTAACATAAAGTATTAAATCTCAATGACCACCATACATGTCATCAAGGTAACATAAAGCAATCTGCATCTACGTGGCCATGAACTTCAATCGGAAAGCTCCTTAACTAACAAGGCATGACATCTTAACATTTTGTTTTATATTTTAATTCCTTTGCCTGTTAAATAGCACCCAAGACACCAAATATTTGAATTGAATACATCTCAAGGGCTTGTTCACCTTTCATATTGTTGTTGCTTACCTAGCACAATGGCCCACTGACAAATCAAAAGAAATTTACAGTTCACTTGCGAAAAAGAGAGAGATACTAAGCTAGATTATACCACTAACC